AAATTTCTTTTTATTCTGTATGATGCAGGCAAAAACTGCCCCCTACCTATCTTTTGGAGCTGCTGCAAGATTTATTAAAATAGGGGAAAGAAACCCAAAACCTGTTTAGAGGTCTGATAAGATAGGAGTTACATAAATACAAGGCTGGACTGTTATCTCCAAGAGGTGTGTGAAGTTGAATTAACTTTTACAACATCCTTATGAGTCAAAGAGACAATCTTAGACCTATTTTTACAGATAAGAGGGTATAAGCCCTTCGGTTAAAGCCACTTCAATTGGGGATATGAGAAGAGATACAATTACTGGATGCAGACCCGGGCCAGTACGTATTGGTACCTGAAAGTATTTTAAAGGGCAGTTTTTTTTTTTTTTTTTTTTAAATTCCCATCGTCCCCTTTGGTAGGTGATGGGGAAAGTCTGCATATTATTCTCCCTCTTTCTTTCTATGGTTCCTGGTGTAATTGATCTGAAATGCAAGACACCTTGTCTCAATGGTATCCAAGGGGAGCCAAGTATTTTGAGAGCTATTAAAAGACATTGTTCTAATGATGAAGCATATAATGTGATTTAGTGCAGCTGAAGCCAAGTTATCCACTGGATATGGAGGGACCTAGGAACAGGGGACCAATGTCTCCTCTAACTCCTGCAGTAAGGTTATGTGTGTCATGAATACACCACTGTCTTTAACATTAACCCTCACACCCACCAAGTAGAAGCACATATAAATTGGGGAATACAAATTTGACCTTCAGCCTAAACAATTTGGTTCCAAAATTGCTTGTTCAACATTACTAGAAATTGTTCTAAGTGCTAATTGTAGTGCCTGGCATATAATAAATCATCAATACACATAATTTGTTATCATTTGGATTTGGAGAAAAAGTAGTATTGCATAAAGTCAAGAACATACTAGGAATGAGATGCCTGCACTGAAGACTTCTTGCACCAAATCGCTGTGTGATTCTGCACAGTTGTATAAAGGGATCTCTGAAGTGGGAATAATTATAGTACTTAGCTGAGATGAGTTTTGTAAAAATGAATGAATGAATGAGCTGATACATGTAAAATCCTCAGCATGATTTCTGGTACAAGTACACATCTGATTGACAAAGTGTGAATAATGGAAGTTGTATAGATACGGCTACTCTACCCATGTGGCTGAGCCAGCCAATCATTATTTAGTGAGTCCCCCCAGTGAGCCAGGCACTGAAGGAGGCACTGAGAAAAGAACAGATAAATAAGGGAGATGCAGTCCATACCTACATGTGGTCTTCTGGGGAATTTTAGCAAAAAACACTTAAATAAAATAATTGAAGGCTATTGTTTACACTAAGAAGAAACTAATAGGGGACTGATAAAGAAAGGGTGAAAGGAATTTCTTCTGGCTAGGTAGGCAGTCAGGGGAAGGCTCTCCAAGGAATCACAGTCAAAGTGACGAAGTCACCAGCCATGTAAAGTAGGTGTGGTCATGGGCATTCCAGGCAGGTGGAAGAGCATATGCAAAGTTGAATGAGTTGGAAAAGAAACTTGGCACATTGGAGGAAGGGATGCCCAGAGTGGCTGAAGCATATGGGTGATGGGGGGCAGGAGGGTGGGGCAGGGAGAACTACCAAATGTGGTTGAAGAACAGGCAATGCTCACCTCCTGCAGGCCTAATTGGCCGTGCAAGGATCCCATGTGGATTTTATTCTGTTTGCAATAAGTCAGTGAAGGGCTTTAAATAGTGGCAAAGAGTAATATTTTGTATACATTCCAAATACCACTTTTGCTTCTTTGCAAGGCAAGGCATCTAAACTTTTCGGACCATGCAACACCAATGCAGCATGTGGCCACAAAATGTTCATATTCTTCCTCTGTCTCTCTGTGTATAGATGGAAACATGCATATATGTTAATTGGTAATTAAATATTAATGAAGCTATTTTCTCCCGGCACTTGATGAATTATCTCGTGGTACCATTTGGGTGCTTGTACCCCACTTTGGAGCTGACTAATGCAGGGATAAGACGGAGCAGAGCAGTTGTGGAATGGGGAAAGTGTTAGGAGGCTGTTGTGTTCATCCAGGTGAGAAATGATGACCACAGACTAGGTGGTGGCATATTTTTCATATGCACAATAAAAAGACTGCTTATTGGAATTACAAATCTATGCTCTCTACTGGCATCTGAGAGCAACTACTTTCCTAATAAATAACCCATTCTTAGTGTATTACATTAGCAAAATCTATTGGATTGTTGGTGAGTTGCTAGATAAGAAACACCTTGAAATAGGCTAGCCCCCATTTCTCCCCTGATTAGCTCAATTCTTGAAGTCTTCTGGAAAAAGAAAATGTTTTAGGGAACTACTGGTACTTTCCTTTCCTGCTTGTTGACAAAAGATCAGAGACATACGAAATAAAATGAACTTATAAAGAAAAAAGTCTTGGAGCCGATTTCACCCACATCTGTGTCACCTTTGTCTCAAATGAATAATTAGAATCAGGCATTTAAAAAGAGCCTGCCCTCTATGAATTCTCAGCAAATGGATTGCAAATGATTTCATTTTAAAGGGATTATTGTAATTAGTCTGTTTTAAAAGACGGGAGCTGTAAACTCTTTGGGAAAAAAAAATTCACTCTCTTTCTACTAGTTCTTCAGGAAGAATTGCATTTTGGAACCCAAGCAATCTAAATTTTGGTAGGGCAATAATAGACTACCAGAAAATTTGAATTCACTAATTTCTTTTTTTTTTTTCCATTTTGCTTTTTCCAGTCCTATATTTGGCCCGGAGTTTATCTGGGTTCTGACTTTTCTAATTTGGTTTTCCTCTCTTGGAGGAATTCTCACACACTCATCCATATTGGAAAGGAGGTTAGCAAGGCATAGAAAGAAGGCATTAAGTAAACAATCCTGCAAAGCTCTGAAAACCTTTCTCAGGAGAGGAAAACAGCTGCCCTGGGGTTTAACGAAGAACACTTGCATTTTGAGGGGAAAGGACCTCTGGCTCTCCTCTCCATCTAGAAGCCTGCCAGGCAGTGTTCCTTTTTTAGGAGGATCCAGGCTTGGGGAGTTAAGGTGCTTTTGGAAGAACAGGCTGTGTCTCCCTTACATACAGGTCACTTTTGATTTCAAGTCCTCATATTTAATGGCTAAGAAGGCTGCCCCCTTGCATTTGTGTATTTCTTGGATTGGTCATAAGAACTATAATCTCAGTTATTTTTTGGGTAACATAGCTCTGGGTTGGATTGAGAGAAATTCCTCCTGGACAGTATCAAAAAGGATATTATTATTAAAGAATAATTACTGTTACTTTTAAGTTGGTCCCACCACAAAGTCACAATTCAGATTTTTGAGTGAGGTTTCCTTTGCAAGAGTGAAAATGAACAGAAAATGTAATTGGAAACTGAAAATTGTATTATTTTGCATGGCATTCATTTATTTAATCAGTAAATAGGCATTGAATAATTTAATAGCTGCCATGCGATAAGAAAGTGTTATTAGGCATATGAAAACTACAAAGAAATTTGAAGGTATTTCAACCCTTAGAAGCAAACTTTCCATTTGAAAAAAGGCTTGGATTTTGAGAAATTCTTTGTAATTTTCAAAGCCCATTCACCTACTATAAATCTTCATCTGAACATTTGAACAGTAGCAGGGGAGCTGGGCTGGGCAGACATTATAATCATACAATTATAGAATTTTAGGAGTGGAAAGGACTTTAAAGGTCATCTAACGCAACCGCTTAATTTTAAAGTGTAGGAAGCTGAGAGATTGCCACTTTGTCTGAGGCCCCACAGTAAACCGGTAGAGCATCCTGCAAAGACTTGAAGTTTTCTAATAAGAATCTTCAGGCATGTGCTAGTAGCTCTGGGCTAGGCACCACCAACAAAGAATAAATACAGTACCATGCCTCTTTTCCCGTATCTGTTTGCATACAGACGTATAACAGTTTCACTGTTTGAAAATGAAGATTTATTGCTTTAATGACTGACAGATTTCCTACCGCAAGACTGTGTGTCGAGTCCTTAGGATAAAAGTGGCGAACAAATTAAATTGGTCACTTCTTCCAAGTTGCTCACAGTTCCTATCCTCAGTGAGTTTGTGGTCTCTTAGGGTTGCCAAGATATGCGCCCACAAAATGCAGAAAGACTGGATTCAAATACAGTGAGCGCTTTAGGGGGTCCGGAGAGCTATCTAAGCGAAATCATTGATGGAAAAAAAAATCTCCCTATCTCTCTCTCTCTCTCTCTCTCTCTCTCTCACACACACACACACACACGCGCGCGCGCTCATTTAATTACATCATTCTCTGCTGGTGCCTTCCCGGGATCTCCCCCAGGCTGGGACACGCAGGCTCTGCTCACGCTAAGGTCAAGACGCCAACTCACGGAGACTAAGGAGGGAACGACCAGAAGCCCACCCAACCTTAACATCTAAATTGGAAGAGCCCGGGGGGGCGGGGGAGGAAGAGGCAGCAGAAACTGGTGGAAGCTATAAAACAGGAATAGCAAGTCCCCAACACCGCGAGCCCTCCGCGAGCTCCGGCCGGCCGCCCCCACGGGAGCGGCGCGCGGGCTCGGCGCCGAGACCCGAGGCCGCGGGGGCGCAGAGCGGGCGGCGGCAGCGGCGCCGCCGAGCCCGAGGAAGGGGCCGGCGACGCGTCCAGTCCCCGCGGCCGCCCGCGCGGCGCAGCTCGGCAGCGGGACGCGGCGCCGGAGCCCCGGCGGCCCCCGCCCTCCCCCCGCGCCGCCCGCCAGCGCGCCCGCGCCCGCTCCGCCCGTGACTTCAGCGGAGCTCCACCCCCGCGTGGCGGCGGCTCGCTAGGTCCGAAGCCGCGCTCGGCACCAGCCCAGCCTGGGCGAGCGGCTGCCACCTGCCCGGCGCCGCCTGCGCCCGCCCCCGTCCGCGGCCCAACTTGGATGGAGTTGGGGTCCTGAGCGCCCGCCCCCCACGGCCCGCCAGCGGAGAGCCCCGCGCCGCCGCCTCCGCTCCGGCCCCCACTCCGCTGCTCTCCGCTCCCGCGATGGGAAAAGTTGGCGCCGGCGGCGGCTCCCCGGCCCGGCTGAGCGCGCTCCTCGCCGGCGCGGGGCTCCTGGTCCTCTGCGTCCCGGGCGCCTGCGGCGGCGGCTCCTGCTGCCCCCAGCTGCCCCCCGGTTCGGCCCCACGCTGGGCTGCAACCCCGGGGGGCTTCGCGGGACGCGGACCGCGAGGCAGAGCTGCTGCCACGCCCCTGCCCCTCCTTGGGCGCCCCCTGTTCGCCGTGGCCCCCGGAGACCGAGCGCTGTCCCTGGAGCGGGCTCCGGGCACCGCGGCGTTCACGGCGATGGCCCCACGCTCTGGCCGGCGGAGACGGAGTGAGGCGGGACCGGGGACGGCGGAGCGGGGAGACGGCGCGAGTCGGAGCCCCCAAGGAACGCTAAGGGACGGAGGGCAGCCGGGGCCTGGGACTCCGGCGCGGGACCCGGACAAAGCCACTCGCTTCCGGATGGAGGAGCTGAGACTGACCAGCACCACGTTCGCGCTGACGGGCGACTCCGCACACAACCAAGCCATGGTCCACTGGTCCGGCCACAACAGCAGCGTGAGTAGACGGGGACTGAGGGCCAGGCGTGAACGATGCAAAGGGTTAAAGCGGCTGCGTGATCTGATGGAGAATTTGGAGAAATGGGGTTTCTGCACTTGAGAGACACCGCAAACTAAAGTCTTCCCTGCCCACCTCCCCTAGGAGTTAATGTCATCCATCAGGAGACCCATGACTCCACCAGAGTCCTCTCAGAAACCCCCCAAAGCTTCAAACTGGGCAGGCAGATCTTGTTTCCTGGTCTCATGGGTGTAGTAACAGAGCTGAAGACCCAGGAAACAGAGGGGGTTAAAGTATTCTGAATGTGGAGGTGAATGGGTTAAATTTCCAGGCAGGATGACATTCTTTTAAGTGACTTTCCCTTTACTTGCTAGACTTACTGGTGAGCACAAGTAAAATCGAGACTTTATCTGTAAGCTTTTTATTTTTTTGCAAAGCTCCTAACCCCCCTTCCCCACGAGGGAAGAGGTATATAGTGGACACTAAGGTGCCCTTAATGTATTCTCTGTTTCTGGGGACCAAGTGGATGCAAGTTTCAGGACAGGAACTCTCTAGCATCGTCTAACAGCACCAGCCAGTGTGTTTTGAGAGCTGGGGTTTTCCAGCCTGTGAATGAGTGGTTGTTCTCCGGCATGATCAGTCCCGGGAAGATCAGATATATCCCAGTGACAACAACCCCCTGTTCTCCCCAATTGCCAGACCTCGTCTAGAGAAGCGCACAAATAGAGACTTAGCCCTCCCTTTATGAAGGGACCAAGGGGGATTGCTGGATTCCAGGAGGGTGACACCCGGGAGATTGGGTACAGCCCCGTAGCTTTGGCCACGTCAGGGAAGGTTTTAGATTTTTGGAAGAGCCTGCATATCTAGAATCTGGGGTAGCTATTTCGGCTTAAACTGCACCTGGGAAACTTCAATGAGCTGAAATAGTAAAGAACTAGGTTTGATGGGAATAACTGAAGATGATTTAAAAGTGTGTAAAGTTCTCTAGGCTGCCATTAAGCAGAAAAGAACACAAAAGCCAAGGATGGGTAAAATGAAAAAACAACAACAACAACAACAAACCTCAGAGTTCAGCTTCCATCAGGTTATTGAGATTGTAGTATTTGTAATATGTACAGTGCAGCCTGGTACCTTTCAAAATGTTTTCAGTTGTGATGTCATTGCCAGAAACCTTCCCAGGGAAGTGCCACTTTAGTGAGTTGTGCTCATTGTCAGCTTTTTAATGAAAGTTATGAATATTTAAAAATGATAGTCTGTCATTATGAGTTCCTTAGTATATAGATAGAAACTGTATTAAGGCAAATCCTGATAAACAGTATTTTGTATTTATGTCTCTGTCCTGGGAGCATCATCCAGGTTTTCCCTACAATTCATCTCTCATGACTGAGGCTGTGGTTTTCCATGGTTCTCAGGAATGGTTTAATCAGATAATTGAAGCTGCAATTCTTTCTATTAAAGTTCTGGAGACCCTTGCCCTCATTTCTTACCTTAACTAGCATATCTTTCATATCATAACCACTAAAATTAATCCGCCAATTTGAACTTGAATCTTCTTAAACTGATTGAATAACTTCCACACTGCTTTAAGTGATTAACTCAAAGCTTCTGGCTTTAAGGGGAGATTTTAAACGCATCAAACATATTACGTCTTGTTGTATCAAGAAGTAGAGGACATTGGACTCAAAATATTTCTGGCTTTTAATGTAATTCAGGCTGTAAAATATCACTCACCCATTAGACCTCTACTTTAGTTCATCTCTTGAAAGATCTTGGAAAGAGCTGGAAAAGGAGAGTACATCTTTGGCAAATTTTAAACTCCATTTAAGAAATGGCGCCAAGCACTGCCAGACTTTTTTTTTTAATGATGCTTATAAGCACAGTAGGGCTTATTAGGGTCAGGGATTGGATGGCCAACAAGCAGGGAAGTCTGAGATAATGTAGGAAACCAAGGTGGTGCACATTAAAGGCTTGAGCTCTCACATTTGAATGAGATTTCTACCGTTTGAAGTTTGTAATTCTTCAAGGAACCCCTCTGCTCCCCATCCCCGCCTTTTTACACACAAATTACAGGTTTTTTAGTATATATATGCAGATGGTAGAGGGAGAACAATCCTCTCCATCCAGGTCCCACAAAACAAAGCTGGCTCAGTCATAGGAGAGACAAAGTTTCAAAAAATACAGAAAGAAGCCAGGCATTTAAAAAAAAAAAAACCTTTCTGGGCAACTTTGTGATGTAAAAAGCAGTGTGGAGACTTGGGTTCTAGTTCTAATTTATTTGTGGTTTGCTCTTGGCAAGTTGATTGCATGCTGAGTGTGAATTTCCTCATCCCTAAAATGGGGGCAAGGCCAGTTAATTACCTGCCAGGTTACACATGAGCGAGCTGTGACTGTCAAGGTCTATACACCTATTTGGAACTCTCAACAGCCCTTCCCTTCTCCCCAGAGCAAACAAGTCCGCTCATTTAAACCTGAGGTTGACATCATGCAGCTCTCCTTTTCTTCACATTTAGATGTCAGTTCCCCATAAGTCTGCCCCCAGCCCACTCGGGGCCCCAGGCAATATACATCCCCAGAACCTATCTGACCTTTAGCTAAAAGCCTTTGCTAGGTAGGGTTTCTGATTACAGTAACCCCTGCCTTAAAGGTGTAAATGTATGGTAATTATAGGCTGCCTGTCAAACTTGTGAGGAATTCTGGATGTTTCTCTCGCCTCCTTCCCTTCTTCCTGCCCCCTCGCTGTTGGACTTGTGCAGTTGTGTAAAGACATGACTGTTTTGCTTCATCCGTGGGAGTGATGTGATTCGTCTCTACTGCATTCTAGCTTGATGGAAAGTGTTGCTGGAGTTGGTGGAACACCTGGGGGGATCTTTTGGCATGAAAGGTGCTGGGGGATGAATCATTTGTCATGAGCTTGGTGTCTTAAGCAAGAACATATTGTTCCTACCCTACTCATGCTAGGCATGCTGTGCCCTGATCTAAATTTATACAGTAATCCTGACTTTGTTAAAATACATATTTGTCTGGATATGTATGTGAGATGGAGCATGTGTTTATTCCTCATTTCCAAGAAATTTCAAAGCGCTACGCTAAGTGAATCCTAATAAAAATCCTCATTCGGTAATAGGTGAATGGCAAGTGTTAATATCTCTATTTCGTATTTTAATGCTGTAGTCAATTTGCATATTTCAGCTCAGTGCCTTGTCCTTTTCTCACTGGAAATAGTATTATAAGGTTTGTTAGCAGAGGCTTTGACTTCTAGTTTGCCATTCTGGTACTTTAATGCTGCATTCGTCATAGACCATGGTGGTCTGGTTCATTTCCATGCACTGCTTTTCCTTCAGCTGTTCCAGGACTTGACATTTACCATGGAACCTTAGTGAATAAACTGAGTCTCAACTTGGGTCAGTTTTGGGTAGACGTCTTCTCTTCCAGCACCTCACTTAATTTTCACAAAAATGCTCTGAGTAGATATTGTTATTCTCATCACATAGAGAAGAAAACCAGGATTCTAGAAAGCTAAGTGAATTGCTAAGATCTTATGGAAGGTCAGTGTCAAATAGGGGCTGGAACCCTGAGTGAGCTAACTTCCCAACCTCACAGAATGGCTGGTCTTAGAGACTTGGAGGTAGGACAGAAAAACTCAGACCTTTTGGAGTCAGAATTTTAAATCATCCTATCTTGGGGTGGATTTCAGATGATGGTGGAGGAGGGCAAGTCCTAGCTATAAGTTCCATCTCCCTGTCGAAAAGCAAGGACTTTAACAGGTGCCTGTCACATTGCACTCTTTATCTTAAGTAGTGATTTGCTTGTTCTCTTATCCGCCTACCTCTTCATCTTTAGTGAGACATGGAGTCTGCACCTGGTGATTCATTGGTCACGAGGTAACCTGCCATCATTCAGCTCTCAGATCTGGTGTTCTTCAGGAATAGATGCCTTTTCAAAGTTACTTACAAATCTGATTTGTAGAGAGGTTGCACATAAACACTTTATCTGATTGCACATTTAGACCTATTTTTTTACTTGACTTTTTTTAAAAAAAAAGTAGAACGATAAAGGGTGTTAGCTTTCTCTAACAAGCCCACATAATTCCTTCTCTGATCGGTGCTTTATGCTATTAGTGAATGTTAATGTGGTGTGACATGGAAGGCAGTGGGTTTGCAAGCAGAGAGATTTGAGTTTGAATGTTGAGTCTCCTGCTTACCACACTTTGTCTTGGACAAGACACTTAAATTCCTTGAGCTTCACCTTCCTCAACTAAAATATGGGGATAGTACAACTTTTGCAGGCTTTTTGCCGAAGACTTGACATCATGTATGTGAAGTGGCTGATAAATAGTAAGTGCTCAATAAATGCTACTTGTTCTTTTAGTTGAATAAATAATTCTCAAGTGGCAGATAAGGATGCCAAGTTATAGTCCTGACTGTGTACAAAAACAAGATATGGAGTCATAACGTGTCCCGTTACAATGCTGTGGCCTTAGTTTCATCCTCTGTAAAACAATGCAGATAGACTAGAAAGCCATGGAAATCCCTTACAGGTTAAAAGTAACTGAACAGTTTGTTCAGCCGGCTTATATTATGCACCTACTACATTTAAGCGCAACGGGAATGTTGAGGATACACAAATGACAAAATGACCTGTAAGGAGCAAGTCTTTTATTCCACATGATTCCTCCTTTTTCCGTGATTAATATGCATATCCATGTAGAGGAAATCTAAACATTTGGGATACAAGCAGGCAGTCATTTCAATGTAGATTTGCAGCAAAATCTAATTTATTATGTTTTTTTGTGTCACATCTTCTTGTTAAGGAACTTTGTGTTTTTGGATAAAAAAAATTCTTCGTATGAGATTGAGAATTCAGTTTCCCTTAAGGATATTTAGTGGGGTTTTCTAGAGGAAAAGGGCATAAATGTTGACTCTGGGAACTCTATCCACATCCTTTTATGGAGGGGCCCTAGAAACTCATAGACTAAGGTACAAAACTCGATGGAATTGTTT